GCCCCGGGCTCCTCCCGGTCAAGGCTTCTGAGCCGGCTTCAACCTGAGACAGGTTCCCGGTCTTTCCCATTCATGACCTTGACACTTTAAAGAGCAAGGACTGCTTACTTTGAGGAATGACCCACAGACTGGGCTTGTCTGTTGCTCCTGCTGACCAGGCGGAGGCTGTGTGGTTTGGGCAGGACCACCGCCAAAGTGACGCTGTGCCCTTTCAGAGTGTTGTATCTCAGGCACTTGACGCCCAGACGTCTCGCGCTGGCCACGTTGATCTGTATCTTGAGTGGGGGAGTGTCAGCCAGGTTTCTCCACCATAAAGTTACTATTTCCCCATCGTAACCAATAAGCAGTTTTGAGGCTACACAAATAATCATATTTCTCACCACCTTTTGCCACTCATTTTAGTGTCCACTGACGGCTCTTGGCTGTGATGCGAAGCGGACTTTGAAAAGTCTCCTGAAGAGGGATAATTTTGCACCTAGAACTGTCGATGAAAATTCTTCTGACAATCAAGTTAAGAGGGAAAAAGAGTTTTATTTTGAGCCAAGCCAAATTTAGGACTGTAACCCGAGAGACGGTCTTTCGGAAAACTCTGGACTGTCCTGCCTGTTAGAAGTTGAAGGCACACTCAGGTACATTTTTGAGATGAAGGGTTGTACATCAAGATGACATAGTGACATTTTACATAAAGTTCACCAAGGATGCACGGTCCAGGTGAGCAGGCACAAAGCGAGCAGCAGGCCACCATGCCCCCCTGCAGAGCTGGGAAAGAGCGCTGTTCTTCTGAGAAGTTCCACTGCCAGTGTCAGACGAAGGTAAAAAAATTGGTCTTCATGGTCGAGCAGGCATGCTCACCTTGGAGGAGGTTTGGTCAGTGTGTGATGGGGATGAGCCCCACACGTTAGGGAGGGAAGCAGGAGGCCCAAATGGACAGAGAGAATTTTTTTTTTGACAGAATTTTGTGCCTAAATTTTCTCTCCTGCCTTAAAATATAAATTTTATTTCATCAGAATGAAGTACATTTATTTCTTAGTTACACTGATTATACTATAACTCTCATTAGCTGTCAGCATCTAATTGCTGTATATACTGTAAAGTACATTTTAAAAGTATAGGTTGGTGCATTTCATTGTGTGATTTTGGTGAAATTTCGTCAGAAATTCACTGGGCAGCTACTTACCTGAGTCTGCCCTGCCCTCTCTCCCCTTGAGAGCAGCCTATTGCTTAGTAAATCCTTTTCTCACTTCCTTAAATTAAAAAAAAAAAGAAATCCAGCGAACGTCTACCAAAATCACTGTCTTCTCTAGGCTGTCATGTTCCTGCGTTAGGCTTTCCCACAGCAGGTAGGACCATCCTCTCGAGTGCGTGGGCTTGTTATCTTACAGCCCAGCACCACAACTGACATGGCCCGGAAGGCAGGGATTTTGTCCTGTTCATCAGCGCCACTGCTGCCTAGGGTGGAGCCCGGCATTCACATGGTGCTTAAATAGCTGGTGAAAGAACTGAAATAACTTTTTCAAACATAGAAAAAGTTGGAAGTGTAGGGCAGTGAACACCTGTATTCCTGCCACTGGAGTCAACCATTGTCAACATTTTGCCCAATTTGCTCGTGTGTCATTACTTCTCTGTTGACACCATGACACGTCACCCCCCACCGAACACTTGGCAGTTATTTCCTAAAAGCAGAAATATTCTTCCACACCAGGTGTTGGTGAACCATAATCATTGTGCCTAATCTGGTCCATCACCCATTTTTTAAAATAACGTTTCACTGGAGCACAGCCACGCGCATTCAAGTACAGATTGCCTACAGCTGCTTTTGCATTAGAGCAGCAGTTGTTTTGATCCACAAAGCTGAAAATATTTACTACCTCACCTGTGCAGAAAAGTTACCATCAGGCCTCAATGGTCTCCTGAGAAAGTCCTGCTTACAAGTTTGGCCCTTAGCAGGCACCTGGGAATGTGGGTTTGGGGAGAGTTCCCATTACTTTAATTATGGTAAGAGCGCCTCATGGGGCCTAAACTGTTCGTACAAACAATACAGCACGTGTTGAGCATCTGCCCTCCCTCTGGGAGTCTGGAGCTTTGGTGTGTGCCAGGCAGAGGGTGCTGTGACCAGCTCATGATAAAAACCCTGGGCTCCGATCTCTAACGAGCTCCTTCTGACATCTCACAAGTGTCTTCACAGCTCTTCGCTGGGGAGTTAAGCAAGTCTTCGATCCCTGTGCTCTGCATCCTCTTGTCATAGTAAATCATAGCCATAAGTCCTCCTAGCAAACCAGTGAACCTGGGGGTTTGGGTTCCCCTGACACCTGGCCCTTTACAGAAAAGTCTGCTGAGGCCCACTCTATAGAAACACCACTGCAACACCTAAGAAAACAATTATTCTGCAATACGACCTAGTCTATATGAAAGCTTTCCCAACTGTCCCCAAGATGAGTTTTTTAAAGCTTATCTTTTAAACCAGGATCCACTCATGATTTGTATTATTGCATCCCGTCCTTTCTACCTTCTTCACCCATACCTTTGTTCATGACGTTAGCTGTGAAGCGATGCGGACTGTCCCAGACCTGGGCTGGTTACTGCTTCCTCGTGCCCCGTGTGTGGCCTCCTCTCGCGTCCTGACGGCCGGGATGCAGAGTGCCCCACGGGTGACGCCCCTGCACGGGTGGGGATGCCCGGCGGCGGCGGCAGGCCACTGGGGGCGGGGATGCTTGAGGAAAACCCCAGCCCCCACCACCTTCCTCAGGCAGCTGCGGCATTTTCTGATGACCTTCGCCTGAACCAACGATTCACTGGGGTCTTTCTCCTCAGGACCATTCCTCTGTGCTCGCTGGCATTCTTGGCTAGAGAAGAGCCTTCCCTCAGCAGCGCCCTCCATCCCCGAAAGACGGGCAAACACTTAATAGCCTCCCTTTAGTGGCCAGTGTCCACAATGAATGTCCACCAACATGGAGCCAGGCGGAC